GATCGGGCGAAAGCGACGCGCCACCGCGTTGGACTTTTTTTCACGCCGGCGACGGAATATCGCCAGCCTGTTTGGATCCACCGACAGGACGGCAGCGGCGATAACGATCCGGCCCGGCGCGAACCTGTAAAAAGTTACTCGGACTGTACGGTGAAAGAGAAGGTTTTTATTTTTGTTACCGTGGAGGAGGGCGGAGAGGCTGCCCATGGACATGTAGTCGTAGACGAGCAGCTTCTCGTCCTTGCTGAAGTAGTAGGCGCGGAGGGGAACCACCAGCTCGTGCTGCACGGCGCCGATGGCCGCGATCCGCTCGCGGAACTCCGGCTCGGGGAGGTCCACGTCCTTGAGCCGCTTCACGGCCACCGCCGCGCCGCTCTCCATCACCGCCTTGTACGCCGTCCCGAACGCGCCCTTGCCCAGCACCTCCGCCGACGCGCGCAGCAGGTCCTCCAGGTCGAACGGCGGGGCCGCCGCCATCGGCCCGAAGTAGATCAGCTTCTTCGAGCCCGTGGTCGACCCTCCTCCTGACTTGGCGGCGACGGCAGCTGCGGCCGCGGCGGCCGGCACTGCTCCAGCGGCGGCCCCGGCGCCGTGGACGCCGTTGCCGTTCTGCCCCTTGGGCTCCCCGTCCAGCGGGCCCATGCCCAGGTCCCGCCCCTTCTCCACCGCCGCCGTAGAAGACCTCGGCGCGCTGCCGGACTTCTTCTTCCGGCAGAGGAAAAAGATCAGGGCGAGCAGCAGCAGCAGGCCGAACACGCACGCGATGGCAATGCCGGCGATGGCGCCGCCGGAGAGCTTCTTCTTCTTCTTGCCGCCACCGACGTCGGCCGCGCCGCCGGCGCCTGGCTGGCCCTCCGGCGATCCGGCCGGCGTGTCCGCGGTCTCGCCGGGGCACAGGCCGAGCGGGCCGCCGCAGAGCCCGGTGCCGAGGAAGGAGTCCTTGGGCATCTTCCGGAGCTTGCGGGGGATGGAGCCGTTGAGCTTGTTGTAGGAGACGTTGAACTGCTCCAATGTGGGCAGGTCCAGCTTGGGGATCTCGCCGGAGAAGTCGTTGCTGTCGAGGATGAGCGAGCCGAGGCGGTTGAGCTTGTTGAAGTCGGGCGAGATCTCGCCCGAGAACTTGTTCTGCCCGATGTTGAGCCGCACCAGGTTCTTCAGCGCGTAGAGCGCCGCGGGCACCTCGCCGGAGAAGGCGTTGTGCTGGAAGTACATGGCCCGGAGCTCGGTCATGCGGGAGACGTCGTCGGGGATGGGGCCCGTGAGCGCGTTCCAGCGGAGGGAGAGCGTGCGGAGCGCGGTGAGGTTGCCGAGCACGCCCGAGGGGAGCGCGCCCATGAGCCCGGCGCCGGGGAGGCGGAGCTCGACGACGCGGCCGTTCTCGCAGGCCACGCCCTGCCACTGGCACGTCTGGGTGCTGCTGTTCCACGCCGGCAGCGCGGACCGGCCCACCGCCTTGCGCAGCGCCTCCAGCGCCTGCGCGTCGGTGTTGAGGTCGTCGGAGCGGTAGGCCGGGAGCACCGACGCGAGCACCAGCACCGCAAGGGCCAGCCTCGCCGGCCCCGGCATTGCCGCCATCGCCGGCGGCGCGGGGTGAGAGAGAGCGGGAGGACGGTGGGCGGCGAGAGTCTTCTTCTTGCTCTGTCAGCTCAAGGAGAGCACTGCCATGGCCATGGAGAAGAAGAAAAGCACAGACACACTCTCTGTGTGGTGGTAGTACTGGCAGTAGTAGAAATAGAGTGGGCGAGGCAGGGGCAGGGGAATCTTGAATTATAATGGAAGGTTTGGTTAGCCCAAGGAGCTGGAGCGGCGGGCCTGATTGGCGCAATGGGCTTGATTGCTTTAATGATAGATTAACCCGGTGGCGCTTACTGGAGCCTAGTTGGAGAATTCCCGCTTTCCTCTTTTTCTAATCCAAAGCTCGCTCAGAGGGGAAAAGGCAGATTAGCAGGTGGAGTCTTTTGAGGCCCGATGAAATGAAAGGCTGGGCGCGGGACCAGCCGGGGCAAAAGACACGAGAAAAATAATACTGCTGCAGTGCTAATAATATATATTTCCATGATGGATTGTTTAGGAAATCACGAGCTAGACGGGTGAACCGCGCTCGCTTTCACCCGGAATTCCATCGGGAGAGAAATTCCTACCCACCGCGCTGGAGATTCTTTTGGAGTTGGAATGCTGCTGTGCTTGGGGTTGAGTGAATTCCAAGCTTCCAACCACGAGCAAAAGGGCTGCTAGGTGCGGCACTCGGCCAGTGCAAGTGCCAGTGGTAGTACCCGAGCATCGCATGTTATCCAGTTCACGGGCATTTATCGGCCAGTTCCCCGGGCAAGGCACACGAGCACGGCCTTGTGTTGGTGTACATAAACTTGAATTTTTGGCAACACGTACGTACCCGGTGCCTGAAGACGCAGCGGTAAAACTCGGCAGGTTCACGGTTATGTGAAAAGGCAAATTTAACTGGGCAGCTTCAGGATCGCACGCTTCACAGGCTTTTGGTTCCGGTCAAGGACTCGCGGGATGAGCTGCATCATCACGCTCGAGACTCGGCTACTCGTCAAGAGAAAAGAATTGTGGCCAGCCAGTCTCCCGGGAGAACAAGAGCGACGAGCTCTGGCAAATGATGATGGTGTGGCCCAAGGAAGTGTGGCACCTCTTTTTTTTTGTGTTGTTGGTTTGGCAATGGCAATGATCGATCGACGGTGCGTACGGTAGGTCTTTCCAGGCAGCAGGTATCGTATCGGGTACAACGAACTCCCTTGTTGTTCCATCGGTTGGAAATTGTGAGAGAGATGGGCTCCGCCCCTCCCCGCCCACCAACTAGGTTCTTTTGTCTGCCCAAGCAAATCGGTCCAGCCCAATCGTATGCCAAGCTTGCTGATGATGCATTGACCGACTGGCTAGGTTTTACTAGGGGCTTTCGTTTTCGTTTCTTTCATTTCTATTCCCTCCGTCCCATAATATAAGAACGTTTTTGAAACTACACTAGTATCAAAAACGTTCTTATACTATGGGAGTACCTTTCTTCCTTCGAGATTGTATTACTGCTATATGCATGCAGGTTGGTTGAAGCTGAAACAATTTCAACATGGTGCTAATAATAATGCCTGCGGGAGGAGGAACCCAGACTGCAATGGATTCCATAGAATAGCTACAGACAGGGCTCAAAGACATCGAGGAGGAGACAAGAATAATACATGTGGAGGAAGTCAGCAACCAAAGGGGCGACAATGATACTACTCCTTGAATGTCAGAAAATTGACCAAACCATCTTAGAAACAGCTTACTGTAAATGACAATCCTTCAAAAGAAAACGAAAATCCTTTAAAAATGTGAAGCTATGTAAATCAGATGATTTCGTAGTGAATTCTGGAAAGGACAAATAACAGTAGAGGCTGTCGCAGACGCACCTGCTTACCATACTGGGTTTCGAACCAAGATTCAGAAAGACAACGCATGCTGCAGGATGGTGAAGATGGTTTACCTACTTACCATGCTCAACTGGCCGTAAAAAATGCTGGAACTTGTTGACAGCGATGAGATAGATGTTGCAGTTGCCATCTCGAAGCTGAACAATGTTTGCATACGAAATGGTTCTCTCCTCTTCTACAAAGGGAGGTTTGTCCCGGCAGATACAGCGACTGAAACTGGGCAGAGAGATGATATCTGACGCTTATAATCGGCTGATAAACTCAAGCAAATGCCTTTCATTCATGCCTTTGTATTCCACCGAAACCAACATAACTTCGCAAACTCAAAATGGAGCCCTTGTTTATCTTCATATCCAAAAATATTTGCTGAATCGAGCCTGCAAGACTCATCCATTGACACTGACACAATACCAGCAACTATAGCGGAATCGTTCAGCTTCACACCATCTCCAAGGAATTAAACACCTTCCAAGATCCATCTATGTAGAGGCTACCCAACTGGGTAACTCTGCACCTCAAGTCAACCGAGAGCAAAATATTGCCGACACATAATGAGGCCGAGGCACCTCTTTGTGAAGTTGACTGATCCTACATGATGGCACCTATGCTATTTCCAAAGAGTGACCAGGCGAATGGGTTTTCCCACTTGTCACAGTCGCAGAGTTAAACAGAAAAAATGAATCGGCAGAATATTGAAGCTTTTGACCCAGCTACTTCTCTGGATTGAGAGATGTGCCTAGTACTGATTCTGAAAGCATTTTGCATGATTGTCAAATATGCCTCCCAAGCTTCTCGTTAGTGGCAACAATTATCACGAGCCTCTCCTCTTGACTTGGCACTTATTATCTCAAAATGCAAGAGGCTGTCGGTCGAGAAATCTTGCCACACTTTTTGTGTGTATGACATATGGTTATTTTTCACAAAAAGAATATTGCCTAGGGTGTGGCTTAGAATCAAACACCCACCTAATATGAGGTGTGGCAATGTGTGGGAAAGTGTGGCTAGAAACCAAACAGCCACGAAGTGATGTATTTGCTGACCCCTTTTTAGTCACTCATTGGCAGTAAAACCTGAATGTTGACATAAAATTCAGGAGCTTGTTGTTCTGGGTGCTTCTTCCTTGTTGAACCCTTTCCTTTGTAATGTTGTTTGTGTCAACTGAAGCTTCGATTCTGTTGTCTATCTAACACTAACAGTGATCTCAATGAATCTTAAATATGGTTTCCCTGTAGTACCTTATTATGTTTGCATATCTGACTTGTTTCGTTATCTTTGGATGTCTATTATTAAGTCTATTGGGATATCAGATAGAGATGACAGTGGAAACACAGGAATAACTTGACACAATTTTCCTAGATAAGAGCTACTGTTAGATACTAAATTTTCCAGCATGAAATGAAAACACTGGAAAGATATATGTTGGATTGGTGACTAAGAATTTCATACAAATATACCTAGTGCGTAATGCAACATAAAGATACACCATATGTTAGGAAACGTTACAGTTTACTGTTTACAGCAGACTTGGAGAATATTTCTCTGTTCACTCCATTGGCAGAAAGTACAAATCCTTCATGAATAGCTGAAGGAACCCTTCACACCATCCAAGCTTTCTCCAAGGGATACCCTGAAAAGAACAGAAACAAAAAACACAAGTTGGGGCGACGGAGCAAGAGCAGCTAACCAAACTAAAATGCCATCTTCTATATTAGGTGGAGTGGAGTGGCAAATGTGGGTGTGAAAGTTTGAATGTAGAATCCACGGTGGATTGGGCCCTTTACCCATCTTCTATCTTTAATATATGATACGCATGCTGTGCGTATCGAGAAAAAAAAAACTAAAATGCCAGAGAGTCAATGGTCAACTAGTAAAAAATGATGCAATGACAATATGGATACAAGTTTGGTTCATTACAGTATAAAAATGAGATTATTTTTTCAGACCTATACAACAAACTGAATAATAAAAGTAGTAGCATGTAAGCTCTAATGTAAATTATCCAAAACACCTCAGTCCAAAATAAAGTGATTTCTGTTTTCATTTTCTGGATGTAATTTCTCAGTAAATAACAAATGATCATGGGAATCAAAGTGATATTCTGGGAAGTACAGGTATTTACAATGTGAGGAGCACCAGTAACTAATATTTTCTTTTTTGTTCTGGGGAAGTAAAACTGCGCGATATAGCAACAAGAATTAAAAACCCAATGGATCCAGCAGGTTACCCTTGATGAACAGTTATACTAGCCCACATTAGGATGAGTCGAGTTGTGAGTTGACAAAATTAAACACACAGTAATGTAGACCGTAGAATCGAAGAGACAGCTGGGTAGAATACATAAGGACTGAACCTTTGTTCTACTGCAGATCACTGAGGTTGGGAATGTGGGTGATGACACTTGAGCAGACTAACATAATGATTTGCTTGGTAGGAATAAAATGTCCTGAGTGCTTCTATGCTTGTTGTTTGTGAGCGTTATTTGGCGCAATGCAATCTCCCTTGCTCAACTATCACTTAAACAGACAGCATGCAGTAAACGACATGAGATGAGTGCAACGTAATCTCCCTTACTGAATTATCCATTTGGTTAACATGTTATGACAGGCTTTATGGTCAGGCTTTTAACACAAGCCATAACTAACTGTCCCACCATAAGTACATCAAGTCTAATCACTAAACGCTAAACATATACCTAAGACTGCCCTTCATAAGGAACTACATGAAAAGATATAGTTACATGAAATTGGTATGTGGTGAGAATTGCTAATAACTCTACTTGTCTATGAGCATTGTTCCGACCCTCTCCTAAATATCCCATCTGACAGGAGACGTTACTCCAAAAATTATTTTGCTCCTTTTCCACCCTCTACACCCAATCAGAGAGCAAAACAATGCAATCGTTTACAATGCTAGGTAGATACGTACAATCAGTGTATATCCAGAAACATTAAAGATACATATTCCATATAATTCATGGTGTCTTACTTGTGCATGCAGTACTTGTACTCATGGCTGCGGACATAGTCCAATTCCCCTTCCTCAAGCTGCCACAACAAAGTAAAAAAAAAAATCCCTTCAGAAATCAAATCAAACATCACAAAAGCAGCCTTCCACACCGCGGCTCCACTCACCGGATCGCCGCCGTATATGAGGTTGTAGCACTCCGGCGAAAGGCAGCGCAGCACGCAGTTCTCCTTCTCCGTGGTGGAGGACCTGCACGCGAATCCCCACAGCCCGCTGCGCGGAGCCAAGAGAAAAAACCGTCAGAAACAACATCAGATGCATCCCCATCGAGCACGAGCAGCATACACGGCGGCCACGTACTTCTCGACGTCGGTGTAGCAGGCGGCCTTGTTCTCACGGATCTCCTTGTCCTGCAACGCGGAATTGGAGGGTGAGACGGGTGGGTGGCAGGGAGAAGCGTGGGGAGAGGTCAGGTGAGGAGACGTACCGTGATGGGGCGGCCGGAGGACTTGGCGGCGGCGGTGGTGGGGGAGATGAGGAGAGCGAGGAGTAGCAGGACGCAGCTGCAGGCCGCGGGGGTCCGCCGCCGCTGAATCCGGTGGAGCGGTGGACGCGGACGCATGGCGAGTGATGGATCCATCCGGTCGGCTGCGGTAGCGGCCGGGGAGACGAATGCGGCGGCGTCTGTCTCTGCCCCGTGTGGACCAACCAATCAAGTGGAACGCATTACAGATGCTAGTACTACCATATTTCAATCTCTTTGAAATAATATTTGAAACATGTTTTAAAAACTTCCAACGCATTTGCCACCAGCTTCTTCAAACAATTTTGATAAACATATTTCAATCCCTTTTGCATGTAACTTGTTTCACTCTTTGAGCCAACAGCTTCTTTAAAAATTGTGGGTATTTTCCATCACATACTGTAACCTGTTCTAGTCATGAGCACCAGTCTAGGAAGTACTAGTACAAAATGTGCTGTTCTATGTTCACTGATGTTACTCTGGCCCCTGCTTCTTCCTGGCTTCCCACACAATAACAAAACTGGCGGGGCGCAAACAATATGATCGCCAATCTGTCCGAGTAACAGATTTGTGCAACCGGATTCCGATCCATCACACTATTAACATCCGACAAACAGCGCTACCAAACTTCACTCTCCATCTTCAAAAGTAGTTGCGCGATCATCCCCCTTCAGGCAAAGCCTGAATTTGCCCCTTCTGAATATCACGAAGATGAGTGCTGCGATCATGAAGCATCCTTCTAACAGTGGGGCAGCAGGATGGATTCCTCGTTGATAAGTCCACCGTGGAATAACAGGTTGTGCACTGATCGAAGCAAATCTCTGATCCCCTTCTTCACCCCTGGCATGGTATGAATAACATTGTTAAATTCGGGCAAAAATGAACTATAATACTAATAAGATATTATATGTACCTGAACAGATTCCTGACGGACCCCCAAAACGATGATTTCTTCCCTGTGGAAGAATGATGGCTTCTCAAGTTTCCTCGATCTATAGTATTAAGCCAAAAGTTAGGAAGCAAAAAGTCTTGCGAATTATGTTATGTATGCGTGCATAAGATATTAAGATGCTAACTACAATTAACTCAGGAACAGTATGATGTACCATCAGCAGGAACTGAGATGCCCTGAGTTCCCTTTAGTGCGGCAAGATCTTCAACAAGTGAACGTGCCTGGCCACTGCATAAATAAACACAATTAGGAAGTAACACAACAAAAGTGACTATGGTGTTAACACTATAAAAACTAACAAGCAATGCTACTGTTTCCAGTTCAGCTCCCTGAAGACCACTACGAGTAGCAGCACACTTGCCAACCGATAATGCCAACAGAGAGCAAACAACAAAAGGATGACAGGACAGGTCAGATGAAAAATATGACGTCATGTGATTGTTGTTGGCTATTGCGCCCTGCAATCAAGCATGTCCAATTTGGTTCACTCTTTGAACAAGAAATCAGCTACTCCCTCCGTCCCATAATATAAGATCTTAGGGCCTGTTCTGCAACGCCCCAGCTTCTGCAAAACTTCTCAAATCTGGCTTCTCGCGTGGCTTCTCGCTTCAGGTGGCGATCTGGAAATCGTTCGGCAGCGTCAGCTTCTGAAGTTAACGTTTTGGAGTGGGCTGAGAGCCCAAGTGGCTGTGAAAGAGGCATGGGCCTGGTCGGATAGGTGGGTGTGGACGTTATTTTCAGCCCATGTGGCACGTCGGCTGGTGAATCGTTATGTTCGCTCGTGACGTTTGCCTCGTACCGGTTCGATCGTTCACTTGGCGGTGGCATTGCTTTGTAATTTTCACCCAACTCTGTCTTCTCCGTTTTCTGAGAGCTGGCAAATGCTAGCTTCGGAAACTCCTCAGTTTTTGCACGTAGACGCCCGCCAGCTTCTCAGATTTGAACTCCGTGAAGCTAGAGTGTTCGGCTCAGCTTCATACGTAAAGTTGACGAAGCTGGGAGCTGGAGCGTTGCAGAACAGGCCCTTATTGCATCCAATATACTCACATATTGGATGTAATAAGAGATTATATTATGGGACGGAGGGATTAGCTTTTAAAACTTTTGGAAATTTAAGTGACGATTTCGGGAATAGCTAAAGATCAAATCATCTGAGTGTAAAAACAACATTTGTCAGAAGCTCGCGCGCTATTAGAAAACACTGGCAATTCACACCTGATATTCTTCGGGATGTTCACCTTTATCACAAAGTTGTGATCTCCTCTATGGTTAGGTCTCTTAATGTCCGGAGCTCCCAGTTGCGCAATCTTCAACTTCTCCCCAGGCTGAGTTCCAGGAGGAATATAAAGATCCCTCAATCCCTCTATTGTCTCAACCTGCAATAACAAGATTGCTTTCTCGATTAAGCTTAAGTGGGAGTCTTTCTAGCATAAAACAAGAATGTTTGCAACGTGATGGAATTAACAAAAGAAAATGCTTCACTAAAACAACACGTGAGTTTTGTGTGACGTCCAAAAAATTAACAGCTCACCTTAACCGTAGTTCCTAAAATTGCATCGGTGAAATCAATCGTGACATCCGAGCACAAATTGAGACCTTCTCTGTGGATGCCTTGTTTTTCTTCAACACGAAGAAATATATACAAGTCACCACTTACACCCCTGCATGATAAGACAGAAATGGATAACGATAACAATAATAATATCTTTTCGCAGTAAGTGGATCCTAATCAACTTAACTGAAATGTGAGTAATGTTTCATCCAGACTGTATTACTATACTTAATATATACAAATTAATAATTATGAGCACTTTGCCAATTGACAGAAATTACAGTATAGACAGCCTAGGCCTAGCTTTGACCAAGTTACAGTTCAAATTAAACATGCGGAAAACTACATAAAGGTCATGAATTTACATAATTATGTATTAATTGCCCAGTGCTTGCCTTTGCTTATCAACACTACCTCCTCCGGTAATTCGAATGGTTGAGCCATCCTCAATACCTCCCGGTATGTCTACTTGTATACTTTGCTCAACTTGGACTTTGCCTGAACCATCACAGCTTGGGCAATGTTCAGTAATTATCTTCCCACTGCCATTACAATTTAAGCAAGAAGATATCTGCAGAATGTAACAGCAACAGATAGTAACTAAGGGGTCATACAGCAAAAGATAACAGCTAAAGTATATCATTCTGAACTCCAGGAAAGAGAGGACTTTGCTAGCATGCGACATGAGCAATAGTAAACAGTCATAGACAGACTAAATTATGTGGTAAATGCACCAAACGATGGATTATGACATATTAACATTTATAGAATTTATTGCATGTAAGACTTTGTTGTTCATACACTAATAAGAGTTTATGCATGTCCAGAAGACAAGAGTATCACAGGCTAGTTAATGGGTTTATGTTTTTTAAACCTCTGCTGGCGGTTCCTATAATGGAAATCGACGAGGTGGCTCGTTGTTTCAAAAATAAATAAATCCCAGGCTAGTTAACTGAGTAGAATCTAACACTTGATATACAGTGGTTTTCTACAATATGATCTCTCTTCTCCCATATTAATGAAATACAGATTCCACAAGTAACTCCGTATTCAATGAACTCCACAGGTAACCGTGGTGAGTGGTGACCCAACAGAAAAACAAAATTCCAGAGAGGCAACTTCATTTAACAGACAATTTGTGTATTGTAGGCTCTAATAAAGGTGCATGAATTTGCAAAAGCCATATAGTGAACTCAGTAAGCCAGCATTAAACACAAGTTACACAATGACAGAAAACGCAACATTCCAATATAGCATGTCTAGGTCACCTGAGATACTATACCAAAAGGTGTCCTCTGAGATTTCATCGACCTGCCTTGACCTCTGCATTGTGCACATTCTGTTATGCTATTGCTAGATTTAGCTCCAGATCCATGGCAAGCGCCACAGGTTTCATGTCTAGAAATACTGATCACCCGTTTGCCTCCAAGGATTGATTCTTCAAAAGGAAGGAGAAGATCATAGCTGTAATTCAGAAAAAGGGTGTAAACAGCTATCCAAGAATTAATTTTCCCCGCTCTAATGCGAGGCTTAAATTGTTTACCGAATATCAAGTCCCCTGTTATCCTTGACATTTGAACTGTAATAAAATCGCCCTTGACCCATGCTATCTCCAAAGAACTTGTTAGAACTGCCAAAAAATGCATTGAAGAGTTCATATGGATCAACCTGCAAAAGAATCATGTTACATTAACTTTATTCGACTGAGACCTTCCATATTAAGTGGCTTGTTAGTTAGGATGCAAGATGCACACAACATTGCAAGTTTATCACGCGTAAATGAGAATCACATGCTGTTGCTGTTGTTTTTTCTTCATTGCATTGCATCCTATGGATAACTATGTACTTTGTTGGGTAGATTCTCTAGCTTAATTTTTCAGTTAGACTTTTACTTGGCGTTTATCTGTATATTCTTTCCACGGGTCTCTTGTAAATACTATTGTACATATCCTGCAAATCCTTTTCATTATTAATAATATATATACTTTCAAGGCCTCCTCTACAGTTCTCTGTTAAAAAAAACTCTCTAGTTTGTTTACTTCAGCTAGTCCTTCAGAAACAATGAGAATCACATGCCAATGTATATGATAGAGAATATAGAATGTACGCGGAGGGTTAAGTGAGAAACATTTTTACAATTCATCCCATAATAATTTCACGATTGAGCCTATCTGACTGCCATCATATTAATTGTGAAACATGAAATCCAATTTAGACAACAATTGTTGGTGTAAGTTGAAGAATATAATTAGCAAGAGAAAACAACATCGAATAGTACTCCCTCTGTAAACTAATATAAGAGCATTTAGATCACTACTTTAGTATTCTAAACGTTCTTATATTAGTTTACGGAGGGAGTAGAAAATAAACTTATACCCTAAATTAGGAAAATAGCTGATTGAAAGCAAAACCATAACGTTTTGAATAAGTAAATACCCCATGTGCACTGAAATCTCCACCTCCATAATCTGCATGAAGTCCTGTTTCTCCAAACCGATCATACAGAGATCTTTTCTCTTTGTCCGACAGAACCTAAAAGAGGCTACAGCGTAAGTGAATCACATAAAAGCGTAGTCATCTGATAACATTATCAAACATCACAGTTTGGAACAT